ACACATGATAATTTTTTAATGAAAATACAACAGCAAAATCCCCATTAAATATCAGAGAAATTATTTTATATTACAATGATACACTTCTCTAAGGCTTAATGTTAAGGAAGTAGGCTATAGATCTAGATCTTGAATGACCCCCAAACCAACAAGATCCCAAAAGATAACAAAACCTCATTTGTGTTATTAAGGATACAGAATGCTAATAGCCATAGCCGTATTTATTATTTCTTATTTAATCTTAAATCAAAAACTATTAAAGCTAGAGAAAGAACGAAAAGTCCTCTCATCTTTAAAAATAGCTCAACAAATTAGTACATATTTTAAATTGAGAATGTATAGTTTTCCAATCTAATGCTAAAAGTAAAAAGATGAACAATAGCTAAGAAGTTAGAGAACAAGTTGGGACAATACCGTGTATGAAATACATTGTACTTTGAAAAACAACGCATTAAATGGCCCATGTGGGCCAATAAGCCCCAGCTTATTTGCCCATGTGGGCCAATAAGAGCAGCCATTCAAAAGGAATTTGTTTGGTATAAAATTCATAAAGAAGAATTTTGTTTTTGACAACGGCTTTTATAAGCACGACCTATAAGTAAAATGCACAAATTTCAAAATTCTTGTAAGGAGAGTCAGGAAATGATTGTTTTGTATTTCCCTTCCTTTTCTTTTTAAGATTTAATCTGTCCTTTCCTGAAACGTTTAAACGGTAGTTGTTTTTTTACAGAGTTTTTACAAGATGTTAACATTCTGGAATTCCAAGAACCAGTGTTCTATAGATCTATGTCCCTTTTTTGGACACAATTTAACTCAATTTAATGTTGTGTACAAATTTGAAACACAAAACTTCAGTGTAGATGAAAATATTTACAAGAAAAGTTGTAAAGTTTGGTTTGTTATGTTTTTTTGGATCACCCTATAAATCATTGTAAACTAAAAGTATATGTTTTGGTTTAGATTGGGGGGGGCCTGATAGTGTTCGTCAAATACATAGTTTTAAAGAGGTACAACCTGCTATTTCTATAGATATTGGGTGTTTTGCGGGTCGGTCTTAGTCACCTCGGCATGGGGTGGCAAAGAACACCCTATTAAATCTCTCTTATAAAACAGCACGGTATTAGTCTAGTAATCCCTACTCTGGGGTGACAAAGACCTCTGGAAATAGCATCTTATGCTTGTTGTGACTATTTTTAGGACACTAAACTATCAGTACGGTATCTCAATTAGGCTATGTGGACAATGTAGCCTTAGAAAGTTTCAGATCAATATCTTTATTATACTGCAGCGCACCAGACTTTGGTTTGTAGGTTTTCGGCATCGTGATAATGGTGATTTAATACCGGGAAGTAATGTATCCAGGTCTAGACTGGAATGAGTGGGCTCTACTAGAACAGAAATCAAAAGAGACCGAAGAAAATATCGTCATTGGCTGCTTATCATCAAAGATCGACAATTTGGGATGCACGGTAATTCAAAACGTATACATTTATTTACCTTTTTATATATCTAGTTCTACACATTTAGCAGCTCAAGCGTAGCAACAAGATCTTGTACGTTAATTCCATGCGCTATTGTCACATAATCCATCTACAAATAGATTTTTAAAACTATAGAATGGACATACAGACAGGCAAATTGGGTTGAAAATGCAATGTTTAAATAATGTCACCCCGGATCAGCCACTCAAGAGCCGGGTGACAAAGACCACCCCAGCCAAATAAAAATTATCTATAAAACTGGAAAGAGGAGATTAAAATAAGTTAATTCAACTAATCTTAAGAATATTTAGAAAAATATTATTTAAGTTATTTAAAGTACGTTTGTTAAATCCAAAAATTTAAAAGACCACGAAGGACCAATTTTTAGCAGTAAGGGGCAGACACCTTTGATTCAAGTGTAGATTTGCTCAAAATGGTGCCTGCAGAGTTATTATTGTGTTTTTAGATACAAAAAGATACAAATTAACAATTAAACAAAAAAATACTGTATTTTGTTTGAAAATAAGAAAATCCACTTGAAAAATTGAGTAAATACAACAGTTTACTGGTTACTGATCTTTAT